AGTTGTTGTTATTGTTGTTGTTATTGTTGTTGTTGTTATTATTATTATTATTATGCTGGGGATTGAACCCAGGACCTTGTGCATGTGAGGCAAGCACTCTACCAACTGAGCTATATCCCCAACCCTGAAGTTATTTCTTGAAAAAAAAAATCTGTAACATTATTATTGAGGTATATCTCACACATCATAAAATTTACTCATCTAGAGTGTACAACTTGATGGTTTTAATATAGTCACAGAATTGTGCAATCATCACCATGATCTAATTTTAGAACAATTTCATCCCCTCAAAAAGAAACTTTATGGGCTGGGCATGTGTCTCAAGTGGTAGTGTACTCTCCTGGCATGTATGAGGCACTGGGTTCGATCCTCAGCACCACATAAAAATAAAATAAAGATTTTTTTAAAAAAAGAAACTTTATACCGATTAGCCCCCCACCATTAATTAACTACCTTTGACCCTACTTTTTTTCTATAGATTGCTTATTCTGGACATTGCATAGAAATAAAACCATAGTACATGTGGCTTTTTCAACTTCTTTCCTTCACCCCAGTATATATTTTCAAGGCTCAGCCATATTGTAACATTCACTTCATACATTTTTATGGCTGAGTAATATTCCTAACATGGACATATCAAATTTTGTTTATCCATTCATCATTTGATGGACATGTGGGTTTTCTCTTTTTGGTTTTTCTGAATAATGCTATAACTTTGTGCACAACATTTTCTGTGGACACGTGTTTTCCTTTCTCATGTTCCATGTAGGAGTGGAATTATTGGGTCATAACCTAACTGTATATTTAACCTTTTGAAGAGCTTCCAAACTGTTTTCCAAAGCAGCTTCATCATTTTGTATTCTCATTAGTATTGCATAGGGTTCCCAGTCCCTCTATACTCTTGTCACCATTTGTTATGATGCTTCTTGAATCTAGCCCTCCCGGTGCAGTCTCCTTGTGAATTTGATTTGCATCTTTCTAATAGGTAACATTGTTGAGCATCTTTCCATGGATTTATTTGGGCATTTGTGTAGCTGCTTTGGAGACATTTCTATTCAAAGACTGCTCATTTTTAATTAGTTTTCTTCTTATTGAGTTCTCTCTATTGTTATGGATACCAGTCCCTAGTCAGATAAATGATTTGCAAATATTTTCTCTCATTTCATGAGTTTGTTTTTTAATCCACTTTCTTGATGGTATCAGAGAACAAAGTTCTTTTGCTTTGGCCCATAATCTTTACTTCTTTTATGCTTCAGCTGTGATAAGATGCTGACATGAAGGATACTGAAAGCTATGGCTTCACATGCCTTTGTCCCCAAAATCTTGAATTCTCAGTTCAGTTTGTCAGCATGGAAGGAATTAAATTAACCCTGACTGTAACTGTACATCCATAAAAAGCCACAGCCACACTTTCAGTTCACCGTGGACCCTGGACAAGTCACTGAACAATGAACCCGCTCATCTGGTCTTTGCCTCACTGGCTGCTCTCACTTCCACCGACCCCTTCCTACCCCAGATGGAGTCAGTTGGCTAAATCCTTTCAGATTCAATAGAAGCATGACTGCCAGTTCTCCTCTGGGTCATATCAGCGTGAGAATTCCTTTTGTGTGTGTTAAGAAATCATTTAACTCTTCATATTTACAGATAATCTAATTAGAGGAGGTTGGCAGGCTCTGTGCACATTGCCCTGACTTTAAATCAAGTGTCTCCCTTGGAGTAGATTCAGAGGCTTTCAAGAAAGCATCATTATTTCCAACTAATGTTCCATGACCCTCATGTTCTCAGTCTTCCAATCTAAAACCTAAAGATATGAAGTGACCTAATTGAAAATGCTAAGCCCATAAATTTCCAAGCCTGAATGTGCCTTTGTAAACCTGAAATCTCTTGAGAGGTCTTTGTTTCTGATAGCCAAGGGGGTTTTGGTGTGCAAAGCTGATTTTAATTTCAGGAGTTTTTCAATCAGCAGAGTAAGTATGCATGGTGCGATTACTGGTTAGAAGTTCTTAAACCTGTGATTAAAACTGACTCAAAGCACAGAGAAATTAGGAGCAGTTCAGGATTTCTTAGCTGTTGGATCTGTGCTGGACGCGTTTACAAATATTCACTTCACCATTCTTGCAAATTTATGCAAATAGCCAGACTGTGTGAAATGATGACAATGCTTACTGTCTTAAGTAGGCTTCTGGGAACAGGTCCTGAGACAGATTGCCCCAGGAGGTTATGATGATGCTTCAGGAACCATATCTATAAGGGAGTGGGGATTACGGGATAGGACACAAGCCGGGTTGAACCGTTATGTAGAGGCCTTAGCCAATCAATGCTGCTCCCCACCCCAAAAACTCAGGTTGGTTTTATCGAAAAATCCTTATCTAATTGCATGAGCCTATTTCCAAGTAAGACTGTATTCTGAGATTCTAGGTAGGCATGAATTGCAGAGGACTCTATCCAACAACCACATTGTGCCAGAGCTATTTCTGCTCAAGTGACCAGGATGATGGGAATCTCCATTGCCAGGGAAGAGGCAAATAATCCAATTCTAAAACTTCATATTATTCCCTCACTCCCGAACTCACCCAAGCTCATAGGTTGGGTTCTCCAGGAAGAAAACCTGAGATAGAGTTGAGCCTGCAGAATGTTTATATCTCTTGGTGCATGGGTGAAATAATTTGTGAGTATATATATATATATATATATATATATATATATATATAGAGAGAGAGAGAGAGAGAGAGAGAGAGAGAGAGAATTATTGGCTTTTTGATTCTGTGCATCAGGACCAAAGTCATGTATGCATCTGGAGTACATTATTTAAGGTGACCCCCATTCTCAGGTGTCAAACCTGCATCTGTATGAGCCTGAAAGTGAGGGCTTCCTTAAATGTCATGCCCTAGGCACCTGCCTGACTCACCACGGTCCTGACTCTAATGAGCATACTCATTAACCTTAATGATTACTTGCCAAACTGCTTTTCAACATGTTTGAGCCAATTTATATTTTCATCAGCAATAGCTCAGACTCCTGGATATATCACATTCTTGTTTAATTTAAAATTTTTGCTAATCTGATGGATGTGAACCAGTTTGTTGATTTACTTATTAGTAAATTTGAACATGTTATCCTAAGTTTAATAGCCATTAGGTTTCTTTGTGTGTGTGTGAAGTGTCTTTCATCTTCTCTGCCTCTTTTCCTACCATATTATATCTTATTGATGTTTAAGAGTTCTTTTACTCTAGACCCTAACGCTCCTATGTTATGTAATTGCAAATTCTCCCAATCTGTGTTCTTTTATAGATAGCATATTTTATTATTCAAAAGTTTTACATTTTAATATATTTAAATTATCTAGTGTTATCTTTGTTGTGCTTTTCTTTCTTCCCTACTGTGATATCATAAAAGATGTTTTTATAAATTTTCTTCTGAAGTTCCCAAGTTTTGCTTTTAATATTTGTCTTTAACATACATGAAATGTATTTTGTGGGTGGTATAAAGTTGCCTACATGAAGAATCAATTTGCATAAAAATGATCATAAAAAAGTTTGAAGAGTATTCATAAATTCTGACTTTATTAAAATTTATTACAAAGAAAGGAAGAGAGATGTATGCAAAGTCATACTGGAATGACAATCATATCCGATTTATATGGATGAATTGCAGACAATCTAAATGAATATTTATATAACAGTGGGAGGGTGAGGGAAATGAATTTGGTTACAATTTTACAATGTAATGCTATAAAGAGATAAAATGCACATTTGAAGAAAATTTGATGATATTAAAATAAGTTAATGATAGTCTTAAGGGGAGAGGCCCAGCTAAAGTAGTTTACATAGTTTAATATCATTGTTTTAAAAATAGACAAAAAAGCTGAAAAATTATTTATTGACCTGTCAGTGGTTATCTCTGGGCTATGAAATGATGAACAGATTATTTTCTTTTTCTCACATTTTGTGAGAAAATGTGAGAAAAAGGACGTTATGTTAAAGCAATCATTCCAATGACTGTGGTTAGCAGAGCGCTCTAGTGCTTGATGAGGAAGGAGTCATCTTTGTCACCTGGTGACAATTAAAAAGATGAAAGCCCAGAATCTTAATGACAGAACTCCAGTCCAACATTTGGCCCATACTCCTCCATATGTCTATGTCCACATGTCCTTATTTGGGGTTCAGAAACTCCAAATACAGTCACCACTACCTGAGGCTGTGAATGCAGAGGTCAGGCTCATGCTACGTGGAGTCTCAAGAATGTGTTGTGAGCATCCAATTTATTTTTACACAGATAGAAATCAAATTTGTAGTTCAACAACTTGAATTTACCAAGGACAACGTAGGCATTCTGGTAGTTATGAAATTGGTATCTTCTCTGAGATGAGGCAGGAAACCTCTATCACACGGAGGGTATCACAGATGATTTGAAGACATGTGATGTTGCAGTTGTGTGACAGAAGTCCAAAATCTTCTTCAAACCCCAATGAGCCAAGTCTTCTCCAAAGCCAAATAAAACCTGGCCTTTCATTAGAACCTTTGAGGGATGTTCTGATTATTTTTATCACCAATAAGACACATGCAGGAAGCTTTATGCAAAAATATAATTCAGAAAAGTTAGAAAAAATAGAATTTTAATTTTTTTTCATTTTAAAAATCATTTAAAAGTATCAAGGTGACCATACAGGTACATTGTACATACATAGGTATGTAGTGTGCTAACAACTAACTCTCCAGACGAAAACAGCCCTGATTGGTAGCACTTGCCCATTCCTGTGCTGTGAACACTTCCAAGACTACACCATGTGAACACTTCAAACTCCACCAAGAGGTGTTGAGAGCAAGGTGGTAAGAGATAGATGCTCACATCACAACCAGCTCCCCCCATCTCAACCAGCTCTAGCATTATTCTGATGGCACCAATACCCTAATTAATACATATTAACAACTTAGCATTTTTCATTGTTTATAAAATAATTAAAACTTAATAGTGTTAAATCCTCTTACTTCTCTCTACAGACCCATGCCCTCGCCTTCCTTCCAAGAAGCAACTACTGTCAAGAATCTGGTATGTACTGTTCTAAATCACGTTTTTGAGCCTTTACTGCATGTGTAGGTGTGCAAAACGATACATATTTATTCACTTTGCATATTTTAAATATATTATCTAATGCTCTCACATTGTATATATAATTCAACTCCTTTCTTCATACTGTGTTTTTGAGATCTATTCCTATTGATACATACACATGTAGTGTATTCATATACTGATTGTGCACATTCACATGAAAAAAAAATCACTATTTATTTATCCATTTTCTTACAATCAGCATTCAGGTTGTTCTAATTTTTTACTGTTATAAATGAGGTTGTAAAGGCCCTATGGGTGTGAATCAGTATGTAAAACTGCACTACCTAGAAGTAAAATGAATGGGTTGTAAGGAATGCTATTTTCTACTTTAGTAATATTGACAAATTGTTCTAAAGTGGTTGCAAAAATTTATACTCCTGCCAAAATATATGAGTTTCTCATTTCCTATATCCCTGCCAATTATCGTTATCATCAGGCTTCTTAAATGTGACCAATCCTAGGATATGAAATAGTATCTTTTTTTAACTTTCATTTCCTGACTACTAGAAAGCATGGTATTAGTTAGGCTAAAGAAAGCTAAGCCGCTATAACAAAGAGACCTCCTCCTCAGAGGAATACGGGAGATTTCTCTTAACAGTTTTATGGTGTGCAGCCCAGGCTAGTAATGTGAGTCAGGCCCACACAGTTATTCAGGGATCCTTCCATTTTTTACATTGCTATCTCCTAAGTCATTAATCCCTTCATGGTTGAAATCATGTTGCCACATACTAGCTTTTAGAATTGGAGGTCAAGGAAAGGGTTGGAAGCCTGAATTACAAGTCCAGGTGATTAGTCCAGAAAAAAAGTCCACCTCAGGGAACCTTTGGAGCCTTGAGGAAGCCATGGTTCTCAGACTCAGACAACTGTCAAATCCAGGGAGTTTATCTGGGTTGGCTCAAGGGTCAACTTTAGAGGGCAGATATTGGGGAAAGCATTCATCCCTGAAGGAATCGATGGGCCTGTATCGGAGGAGTCGGTGAGTGTGTTGGCTGAAGTGAAACCAGGAAGGAAGGACAGACCCCACCTGGTGAAGACTTCCTGGGGATATTGTGACTCTTATTCACTGGCATCTGGGACTTGGCTCAGCCCCTGGCATCTCACACTGCAGCCTTGGGGCAGCAAACCAGCTCCAGAACCCACACACTCCTGTATGGGAAGTTCCAAAGGTACTGCCAGGTCTGGCTTTCATTGGCTTAGATTCTTACCACTGCAAGCCAGAGTTGGCAGGTCATTTTGGGGGATGGGGCAGCTACCTAGTACTGGCTGTGACAGCTGGGAGTGACAACCAGGATAGAAAGAACCTTGCTTTGGGTGGTTCAGGATCAAATTCAGGCTCCGTACCTTTGTCAAAAAGCTCAACTACCTGGTAAAGGAACAGAGATAAAAGTGAATTGTGATCATGTTTTGCAAAAGCAGATATGTCCTTGATTAGGTCATGTACAAAATGAAGCTTTATATGACAAGGGACATCTCAGTGTCCCTGCTTCAAAGTCAGACCGATGTCTAACAATGTGGTCATTGATTTTTGTTGTAAGGAAAAACTACACAACCCCAAAGCCCATATTCTTCTTACTAGACCATCCTGTCTCCTGAGTAAACACATCTCTCACATTTTTACTTTAGTAAAATTAAACCATAATTAATAGTTGAAATGAAACACATTTCGTGGACATCAACTAAATTAAAATATTTGTGCCTATTTTCTGAGTTGCAATCAAATATATATATATATATATATATATATATATATATATATATATATATATATATATATATATATAATATATCTGCCTGCCTATGATTTATGGGGTATTGCTTATAGTTTCTATAACACGATGCCAGTGAAGCCATTGTTATTAGAAGTGCTTGTGTCTTGATGCCTGGTGGGTTCTGTGCACTGTGCTGAGTGTATTCTACAGGCTCTCATTTCTCCTCCATTATGTCATTGTCTCTAAGCAAAAACAATGCACTCAAGGAATAGCAGGGTTTGGAGGGTCATCTGGTCTGACTTACATCATTTGTAGCAGGTTTTGCATTAATGTTTCTGCTTTACATCATGGGAGAGTTGGGAGACCATTTATTTGAACTTCCATATTTTTCTTGGGAGAATGAGGACAATAACAAAATAACTACACTTGCTGCTTAGTGTGTAGATATCAGAGAACAAAGGGACTCTGAGGAGCTTGTGCCATTCTTCTGTCTTCAGACAGTTGTGCACAGGAGGACAAAAAGAGGCTAAGGTGCCTGCTCAAGGCCACACAGCTGGAATTGGTGGAGTGAGACCAGAGACCAGTTCTCCCCTCTCCCATTGAGATTGCCTTCCCTTAACCTGAGCTTCCCGAGAGAGCAAGAGTCATTGTGTGTTGAGATTTGGCACATCTATATCATTGGTTCTCTGTGACCAGTTATAATTTCAAATTGAATTAAAATGAGGATGGGATTCAAAATGGATCCTACAAATGGTAACTGGACAGTTTGTGAAGACTTTGGGAAAGGCAGCCAAAATCAAAACCATGGCTTAGACCAAGTAAGCACCGCCTTAGGGAAATGAGGCACAGCCTTCTTTCCAAGCCCCACCTGCAACAACATTCTACCCAGACTGTAAAGGAAACACGCCCCACCCCTGCTTCACCTCGGTACTCCAGCAAGTTCACTCCACCCTCCCTGGTTCACGTCCCAAGCCTCAGCTCAAGGCAACTCCAGTGTGCAGGGTAGAATCAAAGAAAGAAGTTGCTAAAGGGACCATTCTGCCTTCCTTGGGTGGTTTTTAAAACGCAGAGATAATAATGATCATGGAAGCTGATTTTGGAGTGTGTGCCTGCCCGTGTGTGCATGCTGTGTGAGTGTGTCTGGGCAGGAGCAGGCTCTTCCGGATGGCTGCTTTTGATTGCTGGTCCTTCCTGACCCACTAATGAGGTTTCCTGAATGGCAGATAAGCAGCCTCTCCCACCACAAAAGGAGCCAGTCACTTAAAAATCTCTGGTGAGCCGTCCCAGTGGCACATACCCGTAAACTCAGCAGCTCTGGAGGCTGAGGCAGGAGGCTCACAGGTTCAAAGCCAGTCTCAGCAACTTAGTGAGACACTAAGCAACTCAGTGAGACCCTGTGTCTCAACAATCTTAACCTGAGCTTCCCGAGAGAGCAAGAGTCATTGTGTGTTGAGATTTGGCACATCTATATCATTGGTTCTCTGTGACCAGTTATAATTTCAAAGGGCTGGGTTTGTGGCTGTGGTTAAGCACCCCTCGGTTCAATCAATCCCTGGTACCAAAAAGAAGAAAAAAAAAAATCTCTGGTGAGACAGGCTGAACAAGCATAAAATGGACATTGACACAGATGCAGATGCAGCTACCATATCAGAAATAAGAAGAAAAGGGAATGGCACAACATCTCCTGATGAGGAGGGGGAAAAGCAAAGGATTAAGCTAAAAGACCCAAACTGGGCAGCAAGGACTCTGTCTTGTAACAAGCACAACCATGTCAAGCAGAACCTGTCAAGGAGTGACTACAGAAACAGGAAAACAATCGAAGAAAAATTAGCAACAAAGAAGAAAGAACACAACCAAAGCCCAGCACAGTGCTATGCACCTGTAGTCCCAGATCTTTAGAAGGCTGGGTCAGGAGGATGGCTTGAGGCCAGGAGTTCAAGGCCAGACTGGCAATATAGCAAGTCCCCATCTCAACAAAACAAAGATTCCCAAACAAAACACAAAGCCTGCTCCTCCAAGCCATGAAACTCTTATGTCCCTAGTAAGGAGGGATGGGGTCTCAAACTGAGTTCACCCTGGCACAGTTTATTTACAGATAAATTATATATCCATGATTAAGCACATAGACTTAACTGAAATCTTAGTTACCATATTAGTCACACCACACTTGTAGAATTCTTCTTTTTGGGGAGAGAGATGTGTATTAGGGATGGAATCCAGGGGTGCTTAACCACTGAGAAACATCCCCAACTCTTTTATTATTTATTTTTGCTTTGAGACAGGATCTTGCTAAGTTGCTCGAGGCCTCACTGAGTTGCTGAGGCTGGCTTTAAATTTGTAATCCTCCTGCCTCAGCCTCCCAAGCTGCTGGTCATTACAGGCGTGCACCACCATAGGATTATTCTTAAATGACCTCTTTATGTTTAAGGTGCCATTAGGGAGTTGAGAAACAGATATGGCTGATTTTGATGGTATTGGGGTTTTGAGGATATAAGGGGAGAAGATGAGGAACCCCAAGAATTGTCCAGATTCTGCAGTGGGGTTCACATAGCAAAAGACCATTACAGATCGAGGCTCTCTGTACCTTTATGAACTTGCTAGAGAGAAGGGTATGACTGAGTTAATGTTCCTGGTGGAAGTTCCACCCGCAGATGGAGGGAATGCTGTTGGATTGAGTCAGTGCGTGAGTCAAATCCCACTCCACCCAGGGGCAAAGCCATGTGGAGTCTCTCAGAGCAGAGGCGTGAGTCATGCTAGGGCATCAATCCCTGCACTGCCATACCCAGATGTCATTCTAAGGGTCTGCTGTGGGTCCACAGAATGACTGTGGGAGTGGAGGTTGCCACTTTGTCAGATCCAGCTCTGTGAAATTGACCTTGGCAAGGTCAACATACACTACTTGCATTTTGGCCAGCCAACAAGCTCAAAACTGAGTGCAGATGGCTTAGATAATGAGACTTCAATGATAGAATCTGGGTCCTGATTAGATTTTGTGCACCATGTGTTTGTGGACACCAGGGTATCTTGAGGGTTTCTCAGAATTATCCATTATATGCCAAAAATTAGAACCACAAATTCCCTTTAAAAAAGTATCCTATACTTAATGCTAAAATATCTGTCTACATTGATATAATTGTTCATTGCAGCATCTTTGCTGCAACAATAAAGTCTCGATGATAGGATATTGTTTAAGTAGGTGACAGTTTATCTAAATTGTAACAAAAGGAT